GCGCTCTATGATCTATGTTATTGTGCAGGACACTCCAGCTGCACCATTTTTTATTGGCACCTGCACAGTGTGACTTGAGTTGAAGGTGGCACACTGCAACGTTTATATTACACTACTCTGCTTCCAGGATGATGGCTGTGGGAGGGTGATGAAGTCAGAGACAGGTTTTTGAGGACACTAGGCACAATCTGGCCACTGACATGGCCCCTGAACTCTGTACATTACTTAATCCTGATCTCTGAAGGCTGTGTATTACTTTATACTGACCGCTGAGCTCTGTGTGTTAACTAATCCTGATCTCTGAACTCTTCGTTACTTTTGACCCCTGAACTCTGTGTGTTACCTACTTCTGACCCCTGAACTTTGTGCATTACTTACTTCTAACCCCTGAACTCTGTGCCTTGCTTACTTCTGACACCTGATCTCTGTGCATTACTTACTTCTGACCCCTGAACACTGCATTACTTACTTCTGACCCCTGAACTTTCTCTGTTACTTACATCTGACCCCTGAGCTATGTACATTACTTACTTCTTGCCCCTGAACTATGTTCATTACTTACGTCTGACCCCTGAGCTATGTACGTTACTTACTACTTGCCCTTGAACTATGTGCATTACTTACGTCTGACCCCTGAGCTATGTACGTTACTTACTTTTAACCCCTGAGCTTTGTGCTTTACTTTCTTCTACCCCTGAACTGTGTGCATTACTTACTACTGACCCCTGAACTCTGTGTGTTACTTATCCCTGACTCCTGCATTTTATACTTTACACTCTCTTGATCCATAGCAACATAGGCTTATGTTTTTTTTAACCATACCCCTTTAAGCACTGCTCACTATTAGTGCAATTTAACCACACCCACAATTTGCAGCAGTGCTCTACACTTGCGACACCATTCCTCTTCTCATGGCACCCAAGAAATGTTGTCTTTATACCTTGGATGGCTGTCTCTTGTTATCAAAGTCTGTGATAAATTATTTTAGGGTGTTTTTAAAATCTGTAATCTGTGGTTTTGTGGGTGTGGCTACAAATTAGGGTGTGGCTATGTAGGCATGGTTTTAAAGCAGGCATGGTCAATAGGGTTTCTCTGCAATTAATTTAGAAAAACTAACCTTAAAAAAAGGGAAAATGTGTAAGTATTGTACAGATGTACTGAATATATTTTTAAAGCAAAGGTTGGTACCAGCAGGTCAGGCAGTGTGTACAATTCAGTTGAATTGGTTGGTACCAGCAGGTCAGGCAGTGTGTACAATTCAGCTGAAATGGTTGGTACCAGCAGGTCAGGCAGTGTGTACAACTCAGTTGAATTGGTTGGAGCCAGCAGGTCAGGCAGTGTGTACAGTTCAGTTGAATTGGTTGGTAGGTTGGTACCAGCAGGTCAGGCAGTGTGTACAGTTCAGTTGAATTGGTTGGTACCAGCAGGTCAGGCAGTGTGTACAATTCAGTTCAATAGGTTGGTACCAGCAGGTCAGGCAGTGTGTACAATTCAGTTAAATTGGTTGGTATCAGCAGGTCAGGCAGTGCGTACAATTCAGTTGAATTGGTTGGTACCAGCAGTTCAGGCAGTCTCTACAATTTAATTGAAATGGTTGGTACCAGCAGGTCAGGCAGTGTGTACAATTCAGTTGAAACCAGCAGGTGTGTGTACAATTCAGTGAATTGGAACCAGCAGGTCAGGCAGTTGAATTGTGGTACAATTCAGGCAGTGCGTATTGTTGAATTGTTGTAACCAGCAGGCAGTGCATACAATTCAGTTGAATTGGTTGGTACAGGTCAGGCAGTGCGTCCAATTCAGTTAAATTGTTGGTAGCAGCAGGTCAGGCAGTGCGTCCAATTCAGTTGAATTGGTTGGTACCAGCAGGTCAGGCAGTGCGTACAATTCAGTTGAATTCGTTGTAACCAGCAGGTCAGGCAGTGCATACAATTCAGTTGAATTGGTTGGTACCAGCAGGTCAGGCAGTGCGTCCAATTCAGTTAAATTGGTTGGTAGCAGCAGGTCAGGCAGTGCGTCCAATTCAGTTGAATTGGTTGGTACCAGCAGGTCAGGCAGTGCGTACAAGTCAGTTGAATTGGTTGGTACCAGCAGGTAGGCAGTGCGTACAATTCAGTTGAATTGGTTGGTATCAGGCAGTGCGTACAATTCAGTTGAATTGGTTGGTACCAGCAGGTCAGGCAGTGCGTACAATTCAGTTGAATTGGTTGGTACCAGCAGGTCAGGCAGTGCGTACAATTCAGTTGAATTGGTTGGTACCAGCAGGTCAGGCAGTGTGTAGACATCAAGCAAAGGTTTAATAATAAATTGAAATCTAAGCTGACCCCCCTGCATCCCCTCACCCCCACCTACCCAAAATAAAAACGGGTGAACTGTAGTCAGATTTAGTATCAATCAATATTTCCCATTCTTGTGTGCTTGCTTTCTGATCAATAATGGTGCTCTACAACAGTTAGTTGAAGCAACAGGGCCCTGACGTAGGTGGCATGTTTTTCCTGGCTTCCAGCTATTTTCTGCATCTTAAAGCTCTTGTGACCCCAAGAATCTCTAGGCACCTGGCCGCAATCTACTGGTATATTCCAATAAACAGGTTGCCTAGTCTTGCTGCAAACCATGCCTATGTTACCAACGTACAAGGAAATCAATTATGCAACATTTTCTTGTATTGTTGGCAAATATATTTGGTTTTACAGTATCACTACACTTTACCTTAAGAGGTAAGCGCTCCCAAAAGTCTTATGTAATATTTCTCAAGGTTTCCAAGAGATTGCATAAGGAAATAACTGGAGTTCATGCAAAGTTTACAGTACAGTGGTATGTACATATAATACCCGGTATAGTTCAAGAATTGATTCCTGCCAAGCGGGGGTATTTCTGACAGTTTGGCAGTCCAGGCTGTGCTGTGTGCTGAACTACCTTGCTCCATTTATTTCCTCATATGAAATATGCATTCAAGAGAGGAGGCAGGATGTTGTGCTCACACCAAACCCTGGTTGTCATAGTGGAACCATGGCTGGGAAATTCTTCTTACCAGGGTCATACACAGCAGTATAGTCCCTGAAGAATATCAAACCTGCACTACACCACCCAAAACTCAACATGTTTGGGTAGAGTTACACTTTAACATGCTATACAGAGCTATGCAAAGAACGTTTAAAGAGTAAAGAGTACATGTGTACCTTGGTTGACAAATTTAATGCATCCTCCAGGACGTTTCATGTTGTGAAACATTCGTAAAAAGAAATGCGTTTTCCCATAGGAATGCATTGAAAACCGATTGCCCGTACCGGAGGTCAGAAAAAAGTTTTAAAAAGTCGCTGTCACTATAGGTCAGTGCCGGTTTTTAAATGTAATTACCGGCTTTTTTTTCTTCACTATAGCTCAGAGAATTCACTATAATGGAGTACAGGGGAGGAGGGATATACATTACTGTATACATGTCCTATCACTATAATGGAGTACAGGGGAGGGGGATATACATTACTGTGTACATGTCCTATCAATATAATGGAGTACAGGGGAGCTGGGATATACATTACTGTATACATGTCATATCACTATAATGGAGTACAGGGGAGCTGGGGTATACATTACTGTATACATGTCATATCACAATAGTGGAGTACAGGGGAGCTGGGATATACATTACTGTATACATGTCATATCACTATAATGGAGTACAGGGGAGGGGGGATATACATTACTGTATACATGTCATATCACAATAGTGGAGTACAGGGGAGCTGGGATATACATTACTGTATGCATGTCATATCACTATAATGGAGTACAGGGGAGGGGGGGGATATACATACTGTATACATGTCATATCACTATAATGGAGTACAGGGGAGGGGGGATATACATTACTGTATACATGTCATATCACTATAATGGAGTACAGGGGAGGGGGGATATACATACTGTATACATGCCATGTCACTATAATGGAGTACAGGGGAGCTGGGATATACATTACTGTATACACGTCATATCACTATAATGGAGTACAGGGGAGGGGGGATATACATACTGTATACATGTCATATCACTATAATGGAGTACAGGGGAGGGGGGATATACATTACTGTATACACGTCATATCACTATAATGGAGTACAGGGGAGCTGGGATATACATTACTATGTACATGTCATATCACTATAATGGAGTACAGGGGAGCTGGGATATACATTACTGTATACACGTCATATCACTATAATGGAGTACAGGGGAGGGGGATATACATTACTGTATACATGTCATATCACTATAATGGAGTACAGGGGAGGGGGGATATACATTACTGTATACACGTCATAATCACTATAATGGAGTACAGGGGAGCTGGGATATACATTACTGTATACATGTCAAATCACTATAATGGAGTACAGGGGAGCTGGGATATACATTACTGTATACAGTTTTATATTTTGGACTCTTTATTTTAACCACTAGCCTACAGGGTACTTATACCCCCTTCCTGCCCAGGCCAATTTCCAGCTTTCATCGCTGTCGCACTTTGAATGACAATTGCGCGGTCATGCAACACTGTACCCATATGAAATTTTTATCATTTTTTTGTGACAGATAGAGCTTTCTTTTGGTGGTATTTAATCACCTATGGTTTTTTTATTTTATCTTAAACAAACCAAAAAGCACTGAAAATTTTGAAAAAAAAGTTTTTTTTCTTAGTTTTTGTTATAAAATTTTGTAAATAAGTGATTTTTCTCCTTCACTGATGTGTGATAATAAGGCTGCAGTGATGGGCACTGATAGGCTGCACTGATGGACACTGATAGGTGGCATTGATGGGCACTGATGAGGAGGCACTGGTAGTTGGCACTGATGGGCATTAACAGGCATAACTGATACATGGCACTGATATATGGCACTGTTAGGCGGCACTGACTGGCACTGTTAGGCGGTACTGACTGGCACTGATAGGTGGCACTGATGCACACTGATAGGCGGCACTGACTGGCACTGATAGGTTGCACTGATTGGCAGCCCTGATAGGTGGCACTGATTGGCATTGATAGGTGGCACTGACTGGCACTGATGGATGACACTGAAAGGCAGCTCAGATGGGCACTGATATGTGGCATTGATGTGCACTGGTATGCACTGATATGTGGCATTGATGTGGCACTGATAGGCACTGGCACGTGGCACTCATAGACACTGACAGCTGGCACTGATGGACTTTGAAAGGTGGCACTGCTGGGGCTGCACTGATCATCAGGGCACACTGATCATCAGTGCCTTGATGATCAGTGTACATGTCCCCTCCGTGGAAAGCCAATTACCGGCTCTCCTGTCAAGCTGTTAGCGTGACAGCTCGAGAGGAGAGAAATGCCGATAACCGGCATTTCCGTGTTTACATGTGATCAGCTGTGATTGGACACAGCTGATCACATGACCGAGCCGACATCTTCGCCTTTTTCCGGGATCAGTGATCCGCTGTGTTCCAAGGGACACAGCGCACTGCCGATCGCCATGCTGCGCGCTCCCTGACACATGCGCGGTGAGAATTGGGAGGACGTCATATGACGTCCTCTCAGAACGAGAGAACCACCTTGCGCCTTTCATTGGACTATATGGCGGGCGGGAGGTGGTTAAAGAAAAATGTAATTTCATAAGCTTTAAGGGGGCGTGGTTGTGGGGGGGCCAGGGGTGGGTTGGGGGCGGACCTGGGCAAGGTTGGGTGGGGCAACTGGTGGAGAGTAAGTTTTGTGACCCTCTAGTAGGTCTGGACTCGAAATTTTAACCCCTGCCTTAGTGCATTATCTGAATTAAATTAGTCTCAGAACCTGTGTAATTAATATGAGTTCTGGTTTAAAGGGATGAGGTGGCAACCCTAACTTGGGGGTAGACCCGATGTGCCCCTAAAGAGTTATCTAGCTCTCAGTTTGGTCTTTTGTTTCACTTGAGTTTAGGAATGATAACGTCCACATACCCCAAATCTGAACACAGTGAAGATATAAAATAAAAAAAAATGAATGCAGCTATGTATTAATTATTAAATCATTAAATGTATTTTTAATGCAACTAGTTTAAGTACCTGAATTTGACCTATGATCTGCCAGCTGTGATCCCCTACACAAGTGTGCTAAATGCAAATGTGTTGACAAGATACATGCTAATAGGAGCTGAATGAGTGGAAAGATTACATTTTCAGTCTGCTGCTGCTCATTCCCTGCCCAGTCAGCAGGATGAGAGGTGGAGAGAGGACATCATTGTATTTTTCAACTTTAAGTAGGATCATTAATCTGGCTGTGCTGTGCTTTGGGGCTGTGTGAATCACAGGACTGGATGAACAGAAATAAAAAAAATCCTTTGGCAGCTAAAACATTTATCTGTTTGGATGGGGTTCAACTTTTACCCAGTCTAAAGCTGACACTGTAGTCATGGATGAAGGCTGTTGAGCAGTGTTACTAGTATGAGAACCCTCAAAAATCCCTTGGGAACTCCAGTACTGAGATTACTCCACCTGCATGTTGCTGAGGCAGAATTCCACACCTTTATAGACTCTTTCTCTTGTCAATGCAGTAGAAGAAGTACTAATCAGAGGCATCTGCTTACCTTTAAACGACATGTGCTAGCTGTCCACAACATGATTTTCTTCCTAATGAAATTGCAAATTATTGATCCCTCTAGGGCCTGAAGTGATGCTTGAGTCCGTTGTATCACTTACTTTAATTAAGCTGTATACAGAATGTTCACACTGGCTATGCTTGCTGAATTCTGTATAATACAAAATCAAAGAGAAATCCAGCACAGGAAGTATATTATAACAACTGCTATACTTAGAGGCAATCTAGAGATGCCTGCGCATACCTGCAGTTACCACTTCTACAGCTGAATCTGAGGCAAGAGGTGGGCGCCCTGGGCGCTGTGGTATCATGTGAGGTGGGGGGGGGGGGGCACCGTATAAAGAGCTCCTGCTACTACAAGATGACAGGAGTAGTGACAGCTTAGTGCAGAAAGTGATAAGCAGAATCAGGAGAACAGAAGAGATCCTGGAGGAGGTGCAACTCTGCTCTTTGTCTCCTCCAGCTTCCCCTCCTGCCACTGCAGCGCTCCTGCATCCAGACTGTCAGATTGGGACTGTGCAGGGTTGCCTTACCTGACCCCCATCTCTTCCCAGCTAAGAGCAGGTAAGGAAAGATTTGTGTTGGGAGGGGGATTTCAGCAGAGTGGGGATTTGTACTGGGAGTAGGGGGAATTTTGGTTTGGGGAGAATTTTGACTTGCAAGGGTAAAATATGCTTAGGGGGTTAGTGTGCAGGTTAGTGTTTGATTTTTTTTTTATTTTATTTTTTTTGGGGGAGGGTTTGCTGGTAACTTTGTCCTGACACTGCTCAGGCCAATCTGATTTGCCAAAGATCTAACAGCTCCAGATAGTATCAAAGCTTGCTTGCCCTCTCCTACTTTATACACCAAGACAGTCCACCACAGTGGTAGGCTAATGGATCTCTGCCTAATAAGAATAGCACAGGATTTAACTGTAGAAGCTGGGACTACAAACATCTGCATGTATGTGCTGCAGGTGTACTCATGTACAGTGGTTTGAACATTTCTTTTGATTCCCACCATTTTCCAACACTCCTGATTACTTTTTTTCATGTATGATTGTGACCAAAACACACACCTTCACCAAGGGATACTTTTGGTTTATTAGCAATGTTGATTAGCAATGTCAGTTTGCCAGAAGTGGTTTCCAAAGCTCAACCAAAACCATTAACTATCCAGCTAATATTTAGAAAACAATGAAAAAATCTACAAGTCACACCCTTTAGTGAGCAAATCCACAAGGCCACAAGGACTTAATTGCAATTTCGACATAAAAGGAAGGTCTAAAGAGACCCAATGATGCACCATAGAGCAAGAGGCACAATGGAAAGGAGGACCCAAAAGAAAGTGAAGATACTCACACAGTCTGAGGGAAAGATTTCATAACTACCTAATGTGCTAAGAAGAAAATTAGACAAATAGAGTTTGGGTAGGGATTGGGATTGGGTAGTCACCTGCCACAGATGGACAGGTAACTCACCAAGAGCAGCTGCTACAAGTACACTACTGACAGGTGATGTGGAGCAGAACTAAGTGGCACGTAGGTCTTCACCATAGCACCTCCAAGAGATAATGGGTTGGTAAACCTAGTGGTCACCAGGCTACTTTGCTGTGAGATGCCACCAGGTCACAGTCCTAGGGACAACCAGTGACTCGCAGGCACAGGGAAGCAATGAGGAGGTGATAGAAAAGCAGACTGGTCAGGTTCAGGAGGAGTTCAAAGCAGGCAGAAAGCAAAGATTGTCTGTTTTTAATTAGGGGTTGTTTTGTTATTTAAGGTAATCAGACCTTGTCCCTGTATAGCCCTTTAACCAAGGCTTGGAGTCATTCTTAAGCGTTTGTGAGGCCAACATTAATAAGGAAATATAAAATATGCGATTTCCCCATCACTCCACCCCCCCGGCTCACAAATGTCCTACGGTGATGCCTCCCACTGTACATAAAAGCAACATGTCAACAGTGGAGAGAAAGCACCTAATCATTGTAAACTGAATAATTGTGCTCTTCCACCCCCCCCCCCCCCCGAGGTTAAATGTATCTGAAATGAAAAATGTATCTATCAAGAGTGTAGATGTCTACTTTCCCTGTCTGATTTTACCTACACAGAAAATCTAATTTGGCTATCTTAGGGCTGAAAAATCCAAAATTCAAGAAACATAAAAAAAAACTACACTTTGGACTAACAAAAGAACACCAAACTTTTCTTTCAAAAATTCGAACGCACAGGAGCAGACACGAACATCAGACTTTCTTTTCCAAGAGTTTAGAAGCATAGAAGCTTGTCACAGTTCTCAATATCTGGACAGCAGAGTCTTAGACATCCGATGATCAGATCACAGCTGCAGCACAGCACATGCAATGCTGTAAAAATCAAAACTGTAGAATACAAAGTCCATTTTATCCTCCGGACTATTACAGTTCACAAGTCATAGACATGAAGACACTTGAGCTGGTGTAACTTGCACCAACAATTCAGCTGCTGATCAGTGGCAAAGTCTTTACTGATGGTTGCTGCTATTAAAAGCTTTTGTCTCCTTTCTCCAACATGCTTCTGGTTGACGTCAAGGCAGGTATGTTGCCAAGCCTGTCAGTCCAACATTCCATAACAAACAACAATAGTCATATAGCCCATTATAGATTTCTGAACAGGTAAATCCATGATCCCGTGTGACCTGACCTAACACTAAGAAAAACTCAGCCTTTTTCTTAAAGGTGAAATGTTGTTACAGGAACACTACCTGCTGTTGTCAAAAGCTTCTGTCTCTTTTCTGCAACATGCTTCTGGTTGACGTCAAGGCAGGTATGTTGCCAAGCCTGTCAGTCCAACATTCCATAACTAACAACAATGCTCATATAGCCCATTATAGATTTCTGAACAGGTAAATCCATGATCCCGTGTGACCTGACCTAACACTAAAGAAAAACTCAGCCTTTTTCTTAAAGGTGAAATGTTGTTACAGGAACACTACCCATCTACCACCTGAACTACCATGTACTTCACAATAATATTTGTGTTTCCTCTGTTTACTCCGGTCTCCTCCCACACTCTAGCAGGCTAACTGGCTCTTGTCTACATTGACCCCAATATGTGTGTACAAATTACCCATACATATGTGTCACCATACTCTACATGCCAGTCCCCCTCGAAATAAGTCAGGGAGGGTTAAGGAAAATCACACCTGGAACCTATTTCATTATGATTATCTACCAATAAAATGTTATGAACACCCATTCAGGTGTATCAAACATGGTGGCCAAAGGATCACTGAGTGTCAGATATAACAATGTATATATCAGTATTTTAGGCACCTTTTAAAGGACTTACTTTAAAATTTGCATCCATTGCAATAAACCAACATTATATGATTACCTTAAATTTAAGCTGTCTTTCATGTAAACAAGTTAAACCTTTACTGTAGTATCACCTTTTCTCTCCCTGTACTGTGCACATCCTGTGGATTCTTTTTTTTCACTCCACCAATGAACCATTGCTTTACAGTTCCACTACAATGATTATGGCAGAATATACCAAAGAACATGCTACCATAATCTTAAATACACACAGGAAGGGACAATACAGAAAGATGTACAATCACATTTTCAGTGTAAATGTTTATGTATTCTTTACCCTTCAAAACACAAAAAACAAGTAAACCATCCCAGATGTGAAAACAATATTACTAATAAATCAAACACAAAGTTTTCTCTATTGTTGTTTTCATATTCAACTTAACCAGAGAAAACTCTTAAATAGCCATCATGCAGCATCAAAATTATTTGTTGCTCTGTTTACAATCGGCTCTAGCAAAAACGTTCATACATTCACACATTTCACAGAAACATAAAAAACAATAATAAAATGGCGCAAATTGCCCTTGGAAGCTGTAATCT